TATCAACAAAACCTAAATAAAACCTAAGCATAAAATCAGAGATGCTATTTATTTATCTGACCGTTATTTAATCCTTTGTCCTCCAACAAAAAGGGCAGTCCTTTTTGTTTATACCTGGCTTAGTTGAAAATACTGTATGTAAGAGTGTGTGTGCACATGTGCATGTTTGGACAGCACATTACAAAATTCCAGGCATCCAGAATTTTAATTAATACACATAAGCCACAAGGGTTTTCAGAAAAGTCACTGGTTTTTATATCATTGTAACCACAGAGGGCATAAGTATACTATACATAATTTAGTTAATCAGATTTCTTAATTCCTTCTGAAATTTTAAACTATCAATTTGCAATCCATGTAACTATTCTAGTCCACCAAAATGATGTGGTATAAAATTATAAAATGTATATCATTAGCAAATAGCTATTTGATATAAGAATTTCTTATACCGTACAATCTTTGTCACTTGCTTTTTTCCTAATATTATTTTAAAGTTAAGATAATAGTATGGAAAAGTTTTGCTTAGACACAATAACTCATACAGTATATTTACAATTTATATGATTTTTGCCAGGAAGCTGAATTTATTACACAGTGCAGCAGATTTGCTGGTAATGCATGCATTCATATCCATCGTGCTTTTTCTTTTTGCATAAACAAGATCCTGCAAGCAGAAGTAAAGCTTAACTCTAAGAATATTTTATTTTTATATTTAGACTGCTACAATCAATTTGGAATGTCTGAACACGGACTTGCAATTGATACATACATGCATGTAATGCGGTATAAGCTTTTGGAGAAAGCACAATTATGCAAAGCATAATAAAAGCATAATATAAGTTAGTCCTTGACTTACAGTCATTCATTTAGTGACAGTTCAGCACTGAAAAAAATGACTTATGAAAGTTTTTCACACTTACCACTGTTGCGGGATCCCCATGGCCATGAAATCAAAATTCAGACCCTTGGTATCTGACTCATGGTTGCGGCATTCTGGGGCCATGTGGATTACCTTTTGTGACCTGACAAGCAAAATCAATGGGGAAGCCTGATCCACTTAACAATTGTTTTACTAACTTAACAACTGCAGTAATTTACTTAACAAATGTGGCAAGAATGGTCATAAAATAGAGCAAAATTCACTTAACAAATATCTCACTTAGCAACAGAAATTTTGGGTCCAAATGTGATCGTAAGATGAGGACTACCTGTATGGTAAGACAAAGGAAGAAAGGTATTAAAAAAAAGAAAATAAATCTCAGGTATCCTGACATACTTAGTTTAACTCCTTGGTTTAATTTAAGTCCATTAAACATGGTTTAGCGAGATTACAATATTCTGTAGACAGGAATGTAGCTACCATAAGGTATACAGGTAGTCCTCAACATATTACCAATTGCTCAGCAACTTTTTGGAATTAGGATGGACCCCACCCCCACCCCCCAAAAAAAGCTTACAACCCAGTTTTAAAGTTAGGACTGCTACAATGCCCACATGGTCATCTGAACAAAATCCCAGCACCTGGCAATGCACTCACCCTTACAACCACAAAGATGTTGCATCACCCCTACCTAAAAAAGGTAAAGGTTCCCTTCGCACATATGTGCTAGTTGTGCTCGACTCTAGGGGGCAGTGCTCATCTCAGTTTCAAAGTGGGAGAACCAGCGCTGTCCGAAGACATCTCCGTGGTCATGTGGCCAGCATGACTAAACGCTGAAGGTGCACCTTCCCACCAAAAGTGGTTCCTATTTTTTCTACTTGGGTGCAATTTCAGAGCATCAACAATTCATTGCAGCTGCTTCCATAATGATGCCCACTTTCAGAATGGCATCAGGCAGTTTTGAGATGCCAAAGGATAGAGCAGCCTCATTTCCTTCTCCAATGCTAGGCCTTCCAGGCCTCCACCACCACTGAGGCATCCTAGGCTTCCCTTAAAAACCCACATAGTCTTTTAACAATCACATCAGGAAGAGCTAAAACAGGGATTTATTAAGTGAGGCAATAACAGGGACACCTTGCTTAATGACCATCATGATTGGCAATTATGATGGGCAGGTTCCATTCTGCCTATAAATCAAGGACTACTTGGATGCAACAACTGATTGCCAATTGCCAATGAAAAGTTGTAAATAGTTTTTATCATTTCAAAGGTTCAAGTCCATGGATTTTTCCTTGCACACTTCTGAATTAAACAACATGGGCCTGGTGGCCTTGAAGTCATGCAATAATTGTATATTTATATACTGTACAATGGTCAACTATGGTGTGAAAATTGGCTGGTCTCCGTCATAACCCTTAGTGGGGAAATGCAGCCCCAATCAACTACTACATGCATGATCAAGGTGCTTGGGCTGACTTAAGTGGCAGACCTTCAGGCAACTTGATGCCAACTCATCAAAGATTCATAGATTTCATAGTTCACCACCCAGAAGCTGGTAAGAATCCAATGCAGAAGAAGTGTAATATAGGTCCACTGGCAAATACATATGAGCACCCAGTTTGTCACATTTCATACCAATTGAAGCTTCGGGTGATCTTTAAAGGCAGCTCTGCGTAGAGTGCTTTGCAATAATGTAATCAACATCACTGTCCTAGTCATATCATGTCATATCAAGAGCCGAGGTGGTGCAATGGTTAGGGTGCAGTACTGCAGGCCACTTCAGCTGACTGTGATCTGCAGTTCAGCGGTTCA